GCTTCTTTACCCATCATTTTATCAATTTTATTTCATAAAAGTCATACCTTTTTGCCATTTGCATATGAGCTTGGCAGTGAGCAAAAGCGCTTTTGCCGCTGAAGAAAGGGACCTATGTTCTTACTACCTTCGAAACTGACAGAGTTTCATGTAAAATCTATATCATTCTAAAGTTTCTTTTTTAAACTAATTTTAAATTGTCACCTTCTAATTAGAACATATCTTAGCTATCAGTCTTATGATACATCGGCAATAGTACATAACGGAACTTACTGAACATTTAAAAAATCTGCTGGAAGAAGACGCTATTTTAAATGCTCATTCATTCAACATAAGTAACATGTACTTACTTATTAACTATGTAACAACTTACATATTTTCGTAACTACCTTAGCAGAAAGCGCAAAGGCTCAACCACGCGCTTAACAGTTGCTCATGTAGCCATGACAAATATTCAGAATTTTCGTTTTTAAATGAGTTTTGTTGTACTCCGAGTTCCAACGGCTTTTATAGCACAACCATGATTGTTTTTAGTCTTAAACTCGATTTTAAAATTTTTACTTATAAAAGTTTCCTACAGTAGAAGAAATAGAGGTGACATTTCTGGAGGAAGACATTGTTTTGCAGCAAAATTGCTAAAGGAACAATGCTCCGAATTCTTTCTAAAAAAAGGCGATCGCTACGAAATTCCCACCACAACAAAAACGAAAAACCATTTGTAACTAGGTTTACTGATAATGTTTCGAAATAAATATATAATTGAAACGTAGACTATGTATGTAATAATATGCATGCGTGTAAATATGTAACTTTTTACAATAAATGTAATTGTTCTTTTTCTTCAGTAAAATTCGCCAAACTGTGCCAAAGTCATTGCGATAATACGTAAGTACCTGAAGATGTGATGAAAATACAGTTTCATGAACTATCCTAAATACATTGGCCCCACCAGTGGTCTAGTTAAGATTACTGAATATTGGGTTTGGTTTGGTTTATGTTATTATGGCAAAGCCTCGAGGACTATTTGTCTGAGGAATGCCTTCGTGGAGGACTTTCTAAGGGAAACTGTCTCAAATACACGTTACACATGGGGAAAACCACGAATATGCCCATGCAGCCAGCCCGTTCGCGGTTTTCGAACCTCGGACCGAACTACCAGTGTTCAGCGACTTTACCGCTCGGCCGCTGGTGGGCCTCCTCGGACAGAACTACAGGTATTCAGCCACTTTACCGCTCAGCCGATGGTAGGCTCTGAATAATAGGAGTTCAGGCCAATATTCGATCTCAGGCTTATAGACTGGCTTCAGGGTTTCTTTTCTTCAATTTTCCGTTAGTAACGCCAGCACGGGGCAATTTCCTTTGCAAGGTTCTCCCGAATGCATCAGCCGAGATATTAATTAAAAACCCTGAAAAAGCTAATTTCCGCCCTTATTTTTTCAAGCGGCATAAGTCTCACACACTGAAGATAAAAATCTGGTTTATTGCTTTTTTGCCGCATTTATTCATCAAGATTGGGCTTGTACCATAACTGCACTTGAATTAAAATATATAGAAACTTTAATTGTTACTACTTTAAAGTAGTAACAATTAAAAATATAAATAGCTGTATTGCGAAATTATGGGGTTCCATCTCACAGTATATCCTGTCATGAAAGATTTGGAAACACTTTGTGTAAAGGACATTCGGGGAAGAATTCATGAGAGTATTAGAAACACACAAACTCATTTAAGAGGCTTCAAGCAGCTTGTTATAAAGGTGGAATCGATGGGTACTTTCAGAAAAGGATTAAGGCCAAGTTTAATTCAGATAAAACCTGAAATTTTAGCTTGTATGTTCTTTGATTTCATTTCCATCAATCAATGCGGTGAAAAGGCAAAAAAAGTATTTAAAATAAATTAAAACGTTGTGATTTGCTTTGAGATACTGTCCAGTTAGTTCGGCGTTCTTGTTCTACATACACATGTATCTTATCAAAGATGTTAGTAACATAACTACCCTCAAAATTCAGACTACATATATTAAAATTTTTATTCTTTTCTAATCGTAGATTAGTGCACCTTTGAATAATAATTAAGGCAAGGGGAATTATTTGGAAAATTACAATATCAATGTAGATCCATCTTAGATGCATTATTTTCATGATAGTAAAATTTTTCTTTTACTTCTTTTCATTCACAAACTCCTATTGTATTTCCTCCTAAAGAATTTTGGAAATATCTGGACTATTGAAATTTTGAAACATTCGGACGATGAACTATTAGTGCATTCATCCAAATCTTCACTTTTCAGATCCAGAAGGACATTCTCCAAATCTTCATAGTCATCATCAACAAGCTCTGTGGCCCTATTGCTAAAATACTAGTTAAGGTGATACAGTGGGTAAAAAAGTATTGGAAATTGCCTATAACTGATCATATTAGCTAACAAAGGAAATGCTTGACAATTTTAGCTGGACATAATGAACACAAGAGGCAATAAGGACACAAATCTAATGAAACTTTCGTGTTAATATGCCTTTTACACAAAACATACAACAAAAACGTAAATTTGCATTATAAAAACTATTGGCAAGATCATATAGCAAAATGTGGGAACAAAATTTAATACTTTGTATTCGTACCTTTTGCTTCTATAAGAGCTTGCAATCTATTTTTCACAGAGAAAACCGTAAAACCGTGGTTGTTTAAAACGTCCTGTTGGGAATTTTGTGCCATTCTTGAAGGAGTATACGCTTAAGTTCATCTTTACACGAAATTTTATATTTCCTGACTTCTAGGTCCAATTTGTGCCATAAATTTTCAATTCAATTTATGTCGGACTATTGAGACGGCCTTTTTAACCGGCGAGGAGCTTAATAGAGTAACTAGTGCGAGATGAGGTTCACTGTATACTTAGAATCATTGTCCTGTTGAAACATAAATGATGTTCCTAAGCCAAGTTTTTGGGACACTGAATTTCATGTTACGGCGCAATATGTCAGTGTACGTGCGTGCTGTCACAATACCATCAATAAAGCACAGGTTACCAATTCCGTTTGCTGCCATACTGCCCCAAACTACGACGCTCCCTCCAACATGTTTTACAGTCTGTGTTAAATGTTGTTTTCCCAGTTCGGCGTTAGGCTTTCTCCACACACATTGTCGTCCATCACTCTCGAAACTGTTAAACTTCGATTCGTCGGACAAAATAACAGTGTTCCAAAGTTCTTCTGATGAATTAAAATGAGATTTTGCAAAATCTAATCCTTTTCTCCTGTTTATTTCTGAAATGAAAGGTTTCTTTCTAGCTGCCCTTGCATAATAACTTCCTCCATCTCAGATATTCTATATAGTCTCGACACTAAAAGTTTTATGCGAAGTATTAACATCTTTGGCTAACTGGGGTGCAATTATTTTAGGATTTTTCTTAACTTCTTTAATAACGCCCCGTTTTCCCTTGAAGAAAAAATTCGATGCCGTCCACTTCTAATCTATTTTTCCGTCGATCCCTGTCTCTTTGAACTTTTTACAACACTTCTAACAGTAAATAAACTTATGTTCAACTGTATTCCTATAGCACGACAAGTTAAATCCTGCTTTCTGAGCAGAATGGTCATGTTTTTAAGATTAACATTCAACTCTTTCGACTTCGAAGCCATTTCATCACAGTATCAGCAAAATAACGATTTAAAAGTTTTGAAGTAGCACTGCAGACTTCATACTAATAGGGTTTCTTATCAGTCTAAACAAGTGACTCCAACATAAGGAAATTTGCATAGCAGTTAGAACTTTGCCGATACTTTTCTGACATACAAATTTACGCTTTTGTTGTATATTTTGTGTAAAACGCATATTAAATTGAACGTTTCATTAGATTTGTGTGTTTATTACCTCCTATATTCGTTATGTCCAGCTAAAATGGTCAAGCATTTCCTTTGTTAGGTAATATGATCAATTATAGGCAATTGCCAATACTTTTTTTACCCACTGTACTAGTTACCTTTTAATATCTTCCTCCACAAAAATCAATAATTTAAAGCTTGGATAAATGAGCAAGGCATATTTTTAAGCATTATTACCCGTCTTTTAGTAAATAAATATCATAAAAGATTGCTTCATTAAATTCAGTGGCATATGCAAATATTAAGAAATCAAATATTTTTTATATTTCACTTGCTAATAGTCAGTAAGTATTGTACAAAACAAATTATAAAGCTATGCCTTTTAAATTCTGAAATCAAAAATTTTGTACCAAACACAAAAGCCTATGAAAAGCTGACAGACTAATTCAAACAGAAGAAGAAAATGAATAGCAATGCAGTCTATTGTATTTTCTTAGATTTTTCGGTCTGATCCTAGTATACGGTGCACACGGAATTTGGCGATTTTTTGGCGACTAATGATATATCAGAAATGGGTTCAAACATATCATTTTGGTGTTGGCGAGAATTTTCAAAATCGCACTAAGGCCGTACCATATATTAGGATTTTACCGATATTTTAAAGATGCAATAAGTCTCCACATGTAGTAAGTTTCACTTACCAACCTTTGAACAAGAACTAACAGGATAAATTGACCTTTGCCAACACATATTGAATTTCCATGGTTGGAGTTAAGAATAAAAGAAATGGGTAAAAGTTTACAATTGGATGCCTCTTGTTTTTTGGCGATTCTTTCAAGTTCGGCGCCAGGAAGGCGCAACTTCAAGATGGCCGCTACACAAAACCAAAATAAGAAGTCAAAGATTGCACAAACTCTGTGTTCATGTACACATCGATCTGTTTTCACTTTAAAAAAAAATCCTAGAATTCCACAAACTAGGCATCGCGCACTGCCTTCAATTTGTCCATGTACACATCAATTTATTTTCATTTAAATAAAACCAGGAAGCTTAAACAAAGTTAAAACTATCATGGTAACCAGAAGTGAGGTTTCATCGCCAAAATTTAAAAAAAATTGTCTCTAATCGAAGTGGCACCCAATTCTACACTAGAGCGAAGAAATGTATTGAAACAATATATACTTAATGAAGCAAGTAATTTTTAATAAATGGTACAAAGAATATATTAAAAAGATGAATGATATGAAAGAAAATACTTATCTTAAAACAATAACATAATATACTGATCTCTTAAATGTGCTCTTCGTTCCATAATGAAGTACATCTGATACTTTCAGTGTAGACGTTTCCTATAAATTACATTTTATGTTTTTAATTATACTCTCGATGCATTATCTATTGATTGCATCGTACGCCTACAGCAGCTGCTATTGCAGCTCCGTAACCACTTCCATCTTCAGCAGATACAAGTTCAAATTTAAAATTAGGATCTGTTAACTCCTCAATTTTGCGATTCATTAGTTCCCTAAAGTGGGGATGATACTGGTAAACAGAACCATCAATTCCAATTGTAGTTTGATTCCGCTTCATTTTATTTAATATCGTTGCTATACCAGCTGAAACTAAATTTGCTGCTCGGACTGATACTCTTTCACACACAAGCTTGAGAATATCACAATCTTCGTCAGATGCTTCAGAACCCATCTTGTTTAGAACAATCTTTGCTCCTGTATGTTTATGTTTTGGATCTCTGTCAACATGAGAAACGTATTTAGCTTTAAAAGCATTGGGAGTTTTGAACTTTTCTGATAAATTTCCTTTAAACATCAAGCCTTCATTTGCAAGTTTAACAACAATTCTTCGAACTATTTCACCCATATACATTCCCGATATCATTTTCTCAAACAATTGCTTTCCTTTGTTTATTGAATTTTCATCAATTTGGCGATCAATTTCAGTTCTCAGAAAATCTAAGCATCCGTTATCACCAAAGGCTCCCCATTCGGTGTTAATGATGACTTGGTTAGGTTCATCCCTATCAGCTGACCAAGTTTCAACATTATCTAAATTTTCCATATAACAAGCGTTTGTTCCGGTTCCAACAATCAGTCCCACTCGGCAGTCTCGATGTTTATGAGCACACCACAGCAAAGTACCTGTAGTGTCATTGATTACAGCCATAACTTCTACGTTTCCTCCTTTTCTTTCAACTGCCTGACTCAATAATTGAGCTACATCTTTTCCTTCAACGCCAGAGCAATTAAATCCTTTGGTCCAGTTAACAAGAAATGCACTATTTAAACCTTTCTGTGTACAAGGAAAACTAAATGTGAATCCAAGAGGTAAAGTCCTGTGCATGTTACCAAGTGCAACCAAGAATCGTCCCAGACAATCAGCAATATAATCAAATAGTTCCTCACCTGAGCCAACCATTATCGACTCAGGAATTTCATAGTTTATAGTTGCCTTAATAGTACATTTGTCCCCTTTCAAGTCAATGCATAAAGCACGAAAACGAGTTCCTCCCAAATCAAGGGCAAGACTTTCCTCTTTCGGAACCATCTGGAACATCTCTAACAAATGTAGGAAGCATTTTAACAACTGATCCATTGCGACATGCAGAACTCAAACCTTTGTTGAATTCTTGTAGTAAAAGAGCAGAAACTTTAAGTAGCATATCATTTGGAAGCATAAAATCTTTGAGAATATCAACAGCCTTTTCATAATTTTTAGTCATGTTTGTAAAGCTTGCGGCTGATACGAGAGTTTAAAAAATAGATGCGCGAAATACAAAAGATCAGTGCAGCTAAAGGGACTGTTCAAAGAAAATTCTGATTAAAACTCACAGTGGAAAATTGTTATTTAAATCTAAGTAATAATGAAACCTTTTTTTATATGTGGAAAACTGTGAATTATGCGTCCACTGCTTGAACTTCAACGTAATGAAAGAACTACATTAGAATTATGTAAGTCATTTCACCATAGTATCAACACTCATACACTTCTTAATCAGTATTTTCAAGCTTTTACCACTTTTATTGTTTGATCTGTATTGTTTGCAGTATTATTTCATTGTAGCTTTATTAACATAAATGCATTTCTCTAGCTATCTCACTGTATCTTTCCTTCTAGTGTTACGAATAAAGTTTGAGAAATCATGAATATTGCAAATTGATTCTCCAACTTTCAGTCTGATACATTTTCCGTCTTGCTTAAAGGTGTTTTCAATTTACACATCTTTTTTTATGTCCATCAAAGTCAACAGATTTAGTTGTCGCTGTAAGCCTGGATTTTCGGACCTTTTTCAATAGGTTTTTTTAAATTCTTCAAATCTTGTATCTTCCAGTTTTGGTACCGATATGGTAATGAAGCAAAATTAGTTTATGAAAACTGCTAAACACACATTTGAAATTTTCCATTTACGGTCAGTCTTTACTAACTTCTGGAAAAAGCATTTAAAATTTAATAAAGGTATTTAAGGTCGCGAGCCTTAATGCTTGTTAATTTCATGAATTTATATTACTTCTTTCTTAAAATTAAGCGTGCAGTGAAAGTTTATTTGTTGTGGCTCATTTACTGCATGAGTAATAATTATTTTTAAATTCAGGTATTTTATATTTTTGGAAGAGTTTAATTATTCTATAAAATTAATGTTTTGCTAATACTGAGTTTTATATTTCTTTTATGTTGAATGACAAGTAGTTGCTCATGATGCTTTTGAATTTGAAATTTGATTCTGTTGCTTTATGTCATTCTCAGCATCAGCTCCTTAGGATAGTTAAAAATAAAACTTAGCTATTCGGTAGTGATTCTTACTGTTCCTAAATAGCAATAAATTTTGGATACTGGTAGTAAAAGTCAACATTTACATGAAGATAAAACAAAAATAACAAATAAACAAAATCTGAAACCTTTCAAATTTTATATTACGTCCAAAAAGGTGTTTTTTAACATTTTGTGTGTTACCTTCATATTAATAAGTATCATATATGTAGGTGAACGATCATGAAAGCTCCAAGTATCCAGAGGAGGTGTAGTTGCAAGATGCTTTTGTGGTCGGTAACTTTTCAAGGATTAAGCGATGTTCACACACCATATTTATTACGATGATAATACACAACATTATATACATATTCCTGAGTGGGGCTACAGAATTTTAGCCCTTTCGACGCTCCAACATATGCGTCTGCTCACGATGAGTTACAAGACCTAACTAACCCTTTTGGCGCGTCAGCGCCACCTATAGCATCTCACTTCATAACATACTGGCCCGCGATGAACAACTGTTTACCACAAGCTTCAAATTTAGAATTATTTTAATACAATATTCAATACTAACAAGATTTTCAATAAATACTATATGACAAGTTAAATTTAAAGTTAAAATATGAATTTCAAAATCTCCATAAGCTGACAGAGAAAATTATTAAGATACTTACTGTGCTTAGACACAAAACATTACTACGAAACTAAAATACAAATATGATGAATTATGTGAAAATAAGAATAAAACTTTTTAGAGTCATTAATTCTCACGATGGCAAAATGGTAATGGTGAGAGTTTGTTGATTGGACGTTTAATCACACCATTGATAATTTTTAAGTCCACTACTCGCACTTTTCCATCAGATCCTGGGTAAACATTAATTACTTTAAATAGACGCCACCTTAAAGGTGGTAAGTTATCATCTTTTACTAGCACCAAGTCATTGGTTTTTAAATTTGGTTTGTTCTTTAGCCATTTTGCACGTCCTTGCAATTGGGAGAGATAGTGGAATGACCCAGCGTTTCCAAAAGTGCTGAAAAAGCTGCTGAATCAGTTTCCAACGTTCTACAGGCGTTACCTTATCATCAATCACATTTGGCTGAGGAATGGTTGTTAGCGCGGTTCCAATAAGGAAGTGACCCAGGTGTTAAAGTGCTTAAGTCATTGGAATCACTGGAAATCGTCACTATAGGTCTGGAATTCAGGCAAGCTTCAGTTTAAATTATCAAGGTAAGAAATTCTTCAGATGTGAGCAGCTGAGCTCTTATTGTACGTTTTAAGCTATTTTTCATTTGCTTAATGCCATTCTCTCAAAGACCCCCGAAATGTGAGGCAGAGAGAGCACTGAATTTCCAAACAATGTTTTCTTGTGTTAACTGGTTTTGGAACTTTTCTGATGATAAAATGGATGTCATAATTCTTTTTTAATTCACGATTTGCACCAACAAAGTTAGTCCCTTGATCAGAAAACATCTCTTATGGTTTGCCCAACGGGCTACTAACTTTCTTAATGTTGCCAAGAAGGCTTCTGAAGAGAGATCTCTCACAACCTCCAAGTGTACTGCCTTCATGACAAAACATATGAACAGGCATACATAGCATTTTATTGGCTTCACTCCTCTCCCCTTGCGGGGTTTCAAAAGGAATGGCCCTACATAATCAAGGCCTGCTCTAGAAAAAAACTCTGCTTGGCGCAACTCGAGATACTGGAAGATCGGCCATTATTTACGATGCAGTATTTATTACGATTTCTGAAGCATTTCATGCAGTTTCTAATAACTTTGCGTACTGCGTCTCTACAGTTAATTATCCAATATTTCTGTCGGATAGCCGAAATTGTAAGTGAAGTTTCTCCATGAAAATACTTAACTATTAATTCAGTCACGTGATGCTTCTTAGGAAGAATTGCCTGGTGCTTTTTATTTTCAGGTATATTAGCATTCCTTAGCCTTTCTCCAACGCGAAGAATATTTTCGTTATCCAAGAAGGGATTCAAAGAGATAATTCTGATGTTAGAGCTGATGTTTTCCCCTGCTCTTATTGCCGAGATTTCGGCTTTAAATTCACTTTCTTGGACTAAGCGTACAATAATGTCTGATGCTCTGTTGAGTTCAGGAACAGTTAAAACTCCTTTAACTTTTAATGTTGAAGAACTGGCATTGTTCACAAATCTAAGACACCATGCTACTACACGCCTGAGCTTATTCCAGGATGAAAATTTAGTGAGAAGGTCAAATTTATTTTGATTATTGGATGCAACGCACACCACAGTTTTTCGCTGCTCTTCAAGAGAAAGTCCCTTAAGTTCAGGATCTAAAACAAGTTCAACCCTTTGATTACTGAAGTTGCCTACCTTAGCCAAGGTGGAACGTGAAACCAAAATTCATTATCTATTAGGTCTCTCAACTTTGCACCTCGTGATACAACATCTGCTGGGTTTTCAGATACCTTGCAAAACTGCCACTGAGTAGGAGCGATTAAATTCTGTATCTCTAACACAATTTGCTACGAAAGGCTTCCAATTATTGGAAGAGCCCTTTATTCAATGAAGTACTATTTGAGAGTCTCTAAACCAATAAATATTGTATTCCTTGATGTTAAAGAGCGTTTTCAGATAATTAGCTATCCTAGCAGCAATAGTAGCTGCCATCAGTTCCAAGCGCGGAAGTGTAAGCTTTTTTAATGGAGCTACTCTGCTTTTAAATAGTGCAAAGGATGTCCAAAGTAGCGAAATTTTGAAGATGCGCTTTACTACCATATCCTTTGATTCCTTTGATACTGGCATCGGCGAAAACAATTAGGATCATATTTTCTGCATTAATTGCTGAACCACGCAAAAAATATCTTCTAGGAATATTAATGTTAACAAGTTAATGTTAACAAATATGGAAGCTAAAACAAAGTTAAAACTATCATTGTAACCAGAAATGAGGTTTAATCGCCAAATAATAATAATAAAAAAATTGTCGTCAATTCTACACTAGAGCCACTTTATGATTTGTATCTCATTTATTTTTCCAAAGAGGTGTGTCGTCTTTGGAAAAATAAATGAGTGAGATACAAATCATTAAATTATTTAAAGGGATGTCGTCATCATGCTTAATGGAGCCAAAAGAAATGGAGTCAGATACAGCCTAAAGCAGAGATAATCAAACTTTTTTCTTGCAGCGGCCTTTATAAAGGAATAGTTTTCTTCAATGACCGTCTTACAGTTTTCTCTATGACATACAGTATGGAAAAAAAATTCGTAATGGAAATCATTGCGCATAAATAATTTAAAGATATAATTAGATTAAAAATATGAACAAAAGTTTTGAAACAAAAAGCTTATCAGATTTAAAATTAATAATTTTAATTATTATTATTTTTGATCCAACAAATAAAACAAGTTTTCTGAAATAAATTCGCAGATTCTAATTGCTCAAAAGTTCCGTTTCAACTGATGTGTTGTCTGCACCTAATGTATTGCTGTAATTTTTTTAAATATTTGGCATAAAGTTGCTTAATTTAATTTTTAAATGACCTCTTCAAAAATATTCAACCGGTTTCTTGTTTTCTATTCTAATTTTGCATTCTTCATATTTTTTTAGTTGTGTTTTCTTCTGTTCTAACCTTTTATTTTTTTGTATTGCACTTAATGCATACAAAATTTATATACTTTTAAAAAATATTATTGATTTAAAAAATATTAAAAAAAAAATTATTTTCTAGGCGAAAATTCCTAAGCTGTTTTTGACAGACAGCTTGGGCTCGCAGTCTGCTGCCAGCAATAGCGAGAAACTCAGCACTAGGTTGTCTGACTCATTGTCCCCATTGATTTAAATCTATACTCTAGATTACAGGCAGCTTATTTCATTATACAGCTTTATATCAGCAAACAATTAATTATCAAATTTATTATTTATTTATTTATTTTTGTAATCGGTGACATCTTGCTTATGCCAGTGCATATAGGCATGACGCCTTTGAAAATTTCATCGACCCCCGAGGGGGATCTGTATGGACCCGTTATGAATCCCTGACCTAAATTATGATTTTAAACGCATTTTAATCTCGAGAAAGCGAGGAACACTCAACTTGTGTTATCTTATTGAAGTGAAACGGTTTCATAGTTTAGAGCTGCATTTTACTTTTTTATGGAAGTTTTTATAATCAGACACATATGTATGCATGACGTCTTGGAGTCCCACATAAGGCTGTTTAGGAATGCTGTTGGTCCAGACCTTATGTTAAAGACAATGCTTCTCCGCAACGAGCATCTCTAGATTCAGAATACTTGGAATGAAAATCACTCGGATTGGCAAGCTTATTCACCTAGTTTCGGGCACTAAGCAGATGCAAGCTTAGAACTTGCAAAGGTAATTCAAGAACTTAGCCCATTTCAGTGATTTCTGATTTCTGATTTTCAGTGATTTCTGATTGTGTGAATTTTTGATTTTTCTGATTTTTGAGTGATTTCTGAGTTAAGTCCATATTTTTAATACTGACAGTCATAGATGCAGTAGTGAGAGAAATTTCAGGAAATTAAAAATAATAAATAGTTATATAAGATCTTCACTTGAAACAGTTTAAACATGGTTATTTTTCCTGTCATATATGGATTAAGTAATGAAGAGGATTTTGAAATAAATATTCATTATTTTACTTCGTTCAAATCAAGAAGAACGGATTTTCAAAGTGTGTTTCAAAAAGTTGTTTACGATTTTTATATTGATAATATTATTACAATTTTATTTATTATTATCAAAAAAGT